CTCCAGAATGTTAGGCAAGCTTTGCACCCCAAATCCATTCTCCTTCCTCCATCTCTTCAGGTGACTGGGGAAGGACTTGGAATCACATATCAAATGCATCATTGCGTATTTCTGCCCCTGCCTGGATCTCTCTCTCTGCTTGCCTAAGTGCTTTCCTACCTACAAAGTGTTTTGATCCCAAGGGAAGGGGAAGTCTTCTTTCAATGTGACTTGTCCTTCTGGCATCCAGAGCCCCTCCCAGTGTACCTTAGAGTCTGGAGGCTAACATCTAGGCACCCCCAGGGCAATAAAGGTACTCATTGGCTGCAGGTCCTGGTGGGCCAGGACCACCGCTCACCATGAGCCTGGCACCCAGACTTGGCTAGTGACAGAACATTGCCCACTGCCTAGGGTTTCACTCCATTTCCCGTATTTCCAGGGCTCTCTTCATAATCTCAAACTAGATTCTGATAGCTCTAGCTCAACTTCCTGCCTTTCTCCAAGTTCAACCCTATTTACTTCAACCTGTGTCTCTGAAGTTCAAATATCTATCTATCGTTTATCTGTCTATCTATCTGCACAGCCCTGATTGACAAGTACAATGAATGAAAATGTCTCATTCCTGTCTGGTTTGCATTTCATTACATTGGGCAGCGATATGCGGTGGACTGCAGAGGACAAAGACAAAACAGATTTTTTAAAAGGGTTGGTTAACAATATCTATTTGTTCATTCTATATTGAATTTAAAGGTATCCAGGACTTACAAAATTTTTGTCAAATGATGAGAGGGTAGTGAAAACTCTGATCTAGCCAATAAAATCTGGACCCCAAATGAGCGGTTGATGAGACTGTCCCCTAGTCTCGGAGCTCCCGAGATCGATAGTTTAGCTCGGCCCCTGAAGCCAATTAAGAGCTTTATCTTAGCATAAAAATAAAGAGGAGTTAAAAACGCATTCCTTTCCCAGCTTTCTTCCCCCTTCATTTTTTATTGCGATTTGCAGTTTTTCTTTTAAAAAGATCTGGGACTCTGAAGAAAGGGTGGGGATTGATGTAAAGAAAGTGTCGTTTACCAGGAAAAAAAATTGCGAATAATGGTGAGTTTCAAGGACATGTTTCAACGAGAAACACTTTGTGCCTCGCTAGGAAGAGGCAGGGGCACCAAATTCAGCGTCTTGGAATAATTCCTTTCCTGGATTCAAAGATTCATTTATTGAAATAAATCAGGAAGCATTGGCAGAACGGAAATCCCCTTGCTGGGTTTAAAGGGTCTTTAAAATGTTGCGAGTGTTAGATTGCAAGTCTTTTCTAAATACAAAACAGAAGAAAAGACCGCAGTGTTTCCCTTGGACTTAAAATTGCTAGGTCTCCGACTTAGGATAATTTCATGTCCGCCACAGAAAATGTGTTTAGGAAGAAGTTCTGCCCGATAGCACAACTGCTGTACATGTTTTGTTTTTTAGTAGGCTGGATTGAAGAGAAAAGTGCTGCAGAGTGGGGCTCTGGCTTGTATGGAGAAACCAGTTCGTCCCTACTGCCCCTCTGGACGTTCTGTTTCCCTCCTGCTTCTCCAAGATGGATCCTAAAATTCTGGCTCAAAAGCTTTGCTCGTTTGGCAATGATCAGTTTCTCTGATTTTATTTATTGCTTCAGATTTGGGCATGAAAATAAATCTTTTTCCTATTTACTGTTTGAACTCAGTGTGAGGGAAAGGATCCCATTATATTTCCTATCCGTACAGACATGTGGATATTTAGACCAGACCACATACAACTGGGGGACGCATAAAAGAGATTTATTTGTTAATTTACGCCGCCTAATACACATGTAAACCCCAGTAAGCCAAAGCTGCCGAGGGAGCCTCGGTTCTAGCGTAAAATAAGAACCACGACCCCTGGATTCCAGTCGCCCTGCCCTGCCCTGCCCTGCCCTGCCCAGTGATTCTTTCCTCTACCTGAGAAACGAAGAAACCAGAGCTTTCTTCTGCCTCGCCTCAGCCTGTGTGCAGAAAAAAAACTTTTCTTCACTTGCCTCTTTCCGCCACGATTCTGCTCTCAGACTCAGCTCCCTAAAGCCCCCTGTCCCCCGAAGTTGTTCCCAGGGTCTCCTCCGAAAAGTGAGTTGAGGGGCGGCGGGCTGCAGGTAATCAGGAGAACTTTGCTTATTATTATTATTGCCCAACAGGAGTGGTTTGCTTTGCTGGGGGGGGTGTTTTCTTTTGCAGAAACTTGCTATATCTGGAGGTATTTCGCTTTCTATCGTGTTCCAAGGCTCAGGGTTCCCCCTCCCCAAAAAGAAACCTCCACTCAGACCAACCGAAATAGAATTCGAAATGGCCTGCCTCTGCCCTGCTGCTCACACAGTCCCCAGCCTTGTCCTCTTGCGGGCATCGGGGGTCCCTGCGCCCCAACGAGCAACGACACCCCCTCAGAGTCGCACACTCGGGCTGGGCCGGGCTGCCCCAGGAAGGGCTCCACCGCCCGGGGTTTTGGCCTGGCTGAACCGCCTCAGGTCGGCCCCTTAACAAGCATCCCCCTCCCCACTTCTCGGTTGATGACCTAATTGAATTATGCCTTTTTGTTCCTGGGACTACAGAGCACGTGCTGGAGGCAATTAATTATCGGAATGTGGCCATATCAAAACGGACACTGGGCACCGGGTAGGTCAGCGGCGGCGACATCCCCTGCCCTGCGCTCGGGACCCCTCCCCGCAAAGGGGCAGGCGAGGCTCCCTCGGCGCCCTCCTTCCTCGGCTCCACGCCCCGCTGCCAGCCCGGACTCCCAAACGCGCCGGGCCCCTGGTTCTCGGGGTACCTGGCGGGGCTCCCCGGAAACCCTCGCATCAGCGCTGGCCGGGTTAGGGCTCGAGAGCCTCCTCCTCCCCGCCCCAGAGCCCCGCTCTCCTCGGGGCTGGCGCCGGTAGGAAATCCAAACTTTTTCAGACCAACTGTGCGCCCAGGGTCCGTGGGGCTTGGTGGGAGGTGAAGAGAGGTAGAAGGAAGGGAGAATATTAAAGGGGGAAGGGGGAAGAAATGGGAAAAAGAAAGAAAAGCAATCATCCCTTTTTGTAAACCTGACTCCAGGGAATTCATTTGCATGATTTAGGCTTATTTGTTCTTCAGTGAACATTTCCTCCCCCCGCCCCGCCCCCCCCCGCAAAGAAACCCTCTGCTGAGCGGCACGGAAGCCAGTCTTGGAGAGCTGTTTTCAGTAGATGTAATAATTTAAGTCAGCAGTGAACTCACCTTCCAACCTGGGGAGAGAGCTGTGATGTAGAGGGAGAATTGGGGCGAGTTTGAAGGGAGGGGGTGACTACGTAAGTGCGCTACCGGCAGGGTTTTCCCCAGAAAACTGGCAAAGAAAGAAGGTGAAGTCTTGACCAGGCCAGGCGGATTGGGGGGGCAGGAAGTGAAAGGCTGCAGTTATAAAGCGCTGCTTGAGGCGGTCTCGCCAAGCGCCTCTGAACTTGATCAGATGTTCGGTTTCCTACAGAGAGATGGCGGCCAGGCTGTGAGGCTGCCTCAAGGCGCAGACTTTGGGGCTCGGCTCTCTTCGGGGTGTGACAATCACAGCCATCTTTCTCTCCGCCTTTTCTTTTCACTCTCACTGTCCTACAGTCTTCGCAAATGCCCTGCTGGACAAAAAATGAGTGGATTTATAGCCCTGTCTGAACCTGCTCATTATGTCCAGAAAGACCTCGCACCAGACAGGAGAGGGGACAGTGATCCCACACACAACCCTGGAAAGTCAATCCTTAAGGGTAAGAAGTTCCCGAGGTCACTATATGCTTCTCCAGGTAGGAGAAGAAGAGGGCAAAGCCTTGGCAGTTCAGAGGGAAGAAAATTCCACCTCACAATCCCCATTCCCGACCCCCACTTTTGCATTTGAAAATGTTGAGAATTCGAAGCTGTTTAGCCCTGTGGTTTGAAAATGGCACTGATCCTGTGTGTGTCTAGTGAGTTTGCTGTGTAGTGTGTTGTGTGCATGTTTGGTGTGCACAGGCTAAGTGTACACTGTGCATATTTAGTATTTGTGCTTCTGTGTGTTTGCTGTTACGTGCGTGTGTTTATCCTGTTGTGTGTTTAATTTGTTGTGTGCCTGTTTACTGTTTTATGTGTAGTTTGTTGTGTTACTGGGTTGTGTGTACTTACTGTTGCTAGTTGTGTGTGTTTAGTGTGGTGTGTGTGAGCTTACTGTGTTATATGTGTTTGCCGTCTTGTGCCTGGTGTGTCGTGTGTGGGGGGGTGGCGGGGACAGTGGTGGGGACAGTATACTACAGCCACGACTCACAAACCAAAGAGTCAATGCGAGGCTCAGACGGAAGTAAGGGAGATGGCTCTAACTCTAACCATTTCTCCTCCTTTGGGCCTCGGCCGGCCGGCAGCAGCTTGGGTCACAGACGGCGAGCTGACCGGCCTGGGTCCGGGCTCTCGGGGACATCAGGGCCCACAGTGGCGCGTGAGGAGGACGCGGCTAATGGGCCGCGAGAGTGGAACTGTTGTTCTCGCCCCGGGATCCGCGCCCTTAGGCCGCGGAAGGGGCACATTCTCTTGGCGTTGAGGCGGAGCGGACCAAGCGGGGCTGGACGTCCAGCGCCGCGCCGACGGTGGGAACGATCCTCGCGCGGCAAAGAGTTCATTTGGCCAAAGCGGGTAAAGCGCGCCCGAGGGGTGCTCGCCCGCTTCTGGCGGGAGGGAAGCCAGGGAGAGGCCCTGGCTCCGCCCCGCCGGTCGCCAGCTTGAGCCTGGCTCCAGTTCCCCACGGCAGCGCCAGCCCCGCGGAGCCCACTCGCGGGCGCCCGGCCGCCGCCGCCTCACCTGCCAGGCTCCCGGCCACGGCCCAATCAGCGGCGGCCGCTCGGCCGCGGCTGCCATGTTCCCCGCTCCGCGCTGCCAATCAGTGTGGCGACGGCCAATAGGCTGCGGGGCCGGGGGTCAGGTGACCGCGGGCCAGCTGGCTCCCCATTGGCCCTCGCCGCGCGGCCTCCCGCTCGGTTTATGTGAGAGGAGTGAGTGAGTGACTTTATCAGTCCAAGGACATTACTCTGGAGGCGAAGAGGCTGGGACTGGCGCGGCGAGCCGCGAGGACCGAGCCTGCCTCCTGCCCGCCGGCCGCGAGCTGGCTCTGCTTCTAAGCGCAGTCTAGCCGTGAGGCCCGTGCCGAGGGAGCCTCCTGGCCCCGCGGTTGTGCGCTCTCGGGGAGAGGAGGGGTGCCCCGGACAGAATTGGCAAACTCCGCCCTCCACTTATTATTTTGCTTATTTTTCTTTGTGCGCGCTTGTTAGTTTGTTAAACCAGATCTAGTCCCAGAGTCTTTTCTCCTCCCTTCTCCCCCCTCCTCCCCCCTCCAGGTCCTTCTACTTCCCCTCCTCCCTCCTATCCCTCTGCAGGAGACTTGCAGCGACGGAAAGTTGCAGCCCCTGGTACTGCCTTGGGGGTCTCCCGACAGTGTCCAACCGCCTCCACCCCTCTCCGACTGCGACACTTCGGAGATCTCCTTCGCCCGCACCCTCGCTCACTTCAGCCGGATCGCTGGTGACAAGAACGCCCCACCCATGACGATGCTCCTGGACGGAGGCCCGCAGTTCCCCGGGCTGGGAGTGGGCAGCTTCGGCGCGCCGCGCCACCACGAGATGCCCAACCGCGAGCCGGCGGGCATTGGGCTGAATCCCTTCGGGGACTCGCCCCACGCCGCCGCCGCCGCCGCTGCCTTCAAGCTGAGCCCCGCCGCGGCTCACGATCTGTCTTCCGGCCAGAGCTCGGCGTTCACACCGCAGGGTTCGGGTTACGCCAACGCCCTGGGCCATCATCACCACCACCATCACCACCATCACCACGCCGGCCAGGTGCCCAGCTACGGCGGTGCCGCCTCCGCCGCCTTCAACTCCACTCGCGACTTTCTGTTCCGCCAGCGCGGCTCTGGGCTCGGCGAGGCGGCCTCGGGTGGCGGGCAGCACGGGCTCTTCGCCGGCTCGGCGAGCAGCCTGCACGCTCCGGCTGGCATTCCTGAGCCCCCTGGCTACCTGCTCTTCCCCGGGCTGCACGAGCAGGGCGCCGGGCACCCGTCGCCCACCGGGCACGTGGACAACAACCAGGTCCACCTGGGGCTGCGCGGAGAGCTGTTCGGCCGCGCCGACCCGTACCGCCCGGTGGCCAGCCCGCGCACGGACCCCTACACGGCCGGCGCGCAGTTCCCTAACTACAGCCCCATGAACATGAACATGGGCGTGAACGTGGCGGCCCACCACGGGCCCGGCGCCTTCTTCCGTTACATGCGGCAGCCCATCAAGCAGGAGCTGTCGTGCAAGTGGATCGACGAGGCTCAGCTGAGCCGGCCCAAGAAGAGCTGCGACCGGACCTTCAGCACCATGCACGAGTTGGTGACACATGTCACCATGGAGCATGTGGGGGGACCGGAGCAGAACAACCACGTCTGCTACTGGGAGGAGTGCCCCCGCGAGGGCAAGTCCTTCAAGGCGAAGTACAAACTGGTCAATCACATTCGGGTGCACACGGGCGAGAAGCCCTTCCCTTGCCCCTTCCCAGGCTGCGGGAAGATCTTTGCCCGCTCCGAGAACCTCAAGATCCACAAGAGGACCCACACAGGTAAGGGGGAGGGCGGGAGGGCGGGCGCGGGGTCCGCCGCGGCACCGCGCCACGAAGCCGACTTTCAGCGCGAGGGAGCGAGGGGTGGCGGCGAGAGAGGGGCGGCGCCCCGCCGGGGCCGCTCGAAAAAGTAGCGCTGTCACTGTCCCTCCACCTCTCGCCTTCCCCGCCCCGCGGCGCTTTTGCCCAGTTCTAGCTTCCCGGGCAGACGGCTCTGCGGTCTCAGGAACTAATTGGAACCTTCTCGCGCCCAGGAACAAACTGGCGCCGCCTCTTTTTGTCTCTTTCTGGGTTACTATGAAGGGACTCCGAACGTGTGGAGAGGAATTGCTTACAAGCGACTTAGTCTCGGCGCACAGTCGGGGGAGGCAACCATAGAAATGCTAATGAAAACTAACTTTCGGTTACTTCCGCTCTTTTTTACCATTGATTGGCACATCTCCTAATTAAATGATACTTTTGTCAAACTATTTTTATTTGGAGTTCCAGGTTCAATTCAGTCCTTCGGGAGGAAAGCTAAAGTAGAAAAGGCACCACAGTTTCGGGGCTTGTTCAGAGCATCTTGTAAAACTGTCCGGAGCCCCTGGATTTATATAGTTTTCCCTTTTCGAACGTTAAGTACGACGACCCAAGCTTTTTAATACTGGGCTTAGCAAAACCGCTGCATTTGAAAGAGGCAAATTAAAAGGTACAAAGGAGGAACTAAAAGGGATTGTCCCGTCCCCGGTCCATTGTCCCGCCCAGCCTTGGCTGCAACGCCGAGATATCGGCGGAACGGGGCTGCGCTTGGAGGCCCCGGGCCGGGTAGGGGGGTACCGCTACTCAGGGGCAACTTTGGAGGAGCCAGGGGCTTTCCATCCCGCGCGAGAACAAAGGGCCGGGCAGGTTCTGGGCCGGCCCTGCCCCACCCCCGCCCCCGACCACCACTCCCCACCCCAGCAGGCTCAACCCGCGCTCTCCATTTTTCACCAGGGGAAAGAGATGCTACAGCCGCCCCCAGTCGGCGCTCCCTCTCGGCAGGGAGGACCGCCGGACGCTCTGTCTCCCGCTGCTCGGCCCAAGGAAGCTCGCGGCCCCTGACCATATTTACCCCCCTTTGCGTTTCTGCCTTCTGCAGGTGAGAAACCTTTCAAATGTGAATTTGAAGGCTGTGACAGACGCTTTGCCAACAGCAGCGACCGCAAGAAGCACATGCATGTGCACACCTCGGACAAGCCCTATATCTGCAAAGTGTGCGACAAGTCCTACACGCACCCGAGCTCCCTGCGCAAGCACATGAAGGTAATTACCTCTTTATTAGCGGTCGGCGGTTTATAAACACTCGGCCCGACACCGGGTCGCGGAAGGGAAGCGCCTGCGCTGCCAACCCTGTATCTTCCACGTTAAATCCGATTTGCTCCAGCGTTGACACCTTGAACCCATTTTGGGGACCCGGAGGGGGGCGGGGGAGAGCACAGTGGGGAGGAGGAGGGAGCGGAGGGAACAATCAGTTGTTTACTGGGAAGCTCTAACCGAGCTCGCCAGGGCTGGAGGTCTCAGTGGCCGCCTCTACCCGGCTCAGCCCGCGGTGGGAACCGAGAGTGCCCGCGCCGAACCCGGGGGCGGGTGGCTCATTCCCTCTTCGGCTTTCGGTAAAACAATAGGGCCGAGGAGCGCGGTGGGATTCCCACGCATTTGTCTGAGACCTCGCAGCGCCCAGGGCACCCGTGCCACCTTTCTCTGTACCTGCTTTCCCAAGCCAAAGCGGGCTTGGCGAAACCTGGGCCCGGAGTATTTTGTAGGGCCCCAAAGACTACGTGCTTACCCCGCTCCATCCGCGGAGAAAGCATTTCTGAAGGGGCATGAATAAATCAGAGTGCTTTATTCCTTTTCCATAATGCCAGTCTTAGGACTCAGACTGTTTTGTTGGTGAACATCTTGGGGCTTTCTAGACATCGGTAATGTGGAAATTAAAAACAAAACCCCCAAATCAGCAGCATTTCTCTTTTAAGTGGGTCACTGGGCGGTCTTGCTCTTACAGTGCTCTAATTCTGCTCTTGTTTTTGCTTGCACAATGCCAGTTGGAATTATATTCATTATAATATATACATGTTAATTTTAGGTTCATGAATCTCAAGGGTCAGATTCCTCCCCTGCTGCCAGTTCAGGCTATGAATCTTCCACTCCACCCGCTATAGCTTCTGCAAACAGTAAAGATACCACTAAAACCCCTTCTGCAGTTCAAACTAGCACCAGCCACAACCCTGGACTTCCTCCCAATTTTAACGAATGGTACGTCTGAGGACAAACACAAACACAAACCCTGTTAACCATAGAATGGACCAAATGCATTTTAAAAAGAAAACTGAGACCAATCAGATGGAAATGGAGTTTTAAGGCAAGAGGCCATACATAGGGCTACATCTTGTTAATTGCAATTGTCCAGGAAGGTTTTGGGGCAAGATCCCAAAATAGCCATGCCCTTTTTTCTCAGGATTAGAAAATATGTTTTGGCATTTGAAGGATTAAAAAAAAAATCTTCTCACTGCTTTTTCCTCCCTTTTCTCTTGCTCTCTGCTCACCCCATCCCTAAACGCCTTCAGTTCATTTTAACTCTTGTCCTGTTTCCTGAGAGGAAGTTATAGAAGGCTTATTGGTGGTGGTGGTGGTGATGTTAAAACTGATGGAAAAATCTTCGCCTTAGTGGTGATTGTTTAAACTCTCACAGTCTTAAACCGTGCCAAAGTCCTGTTATGTCTTGAACTTTTCCTCAAAGCATTACACTTGTGAATGTATTTTTGTCTAATGGGGTCGAAACTGTTGTTCAGTATTTTTTCAGGCTGAGGATGTGATGTTACTCTACACAGATTGTGACGTTTAGTATACAGTTGCCTTTTGTAATAACTTTTTTTTTTGTAAATACATATCCATTGATGCCATATTTATCGTTTGTAATTTAATTATTGCTACAAGTGCCGGGAACTGAACAATATTTATGGAAAATGTTTTCTAACAAATTCTGTACAGCTTTTGATTATAACCGCTTTAGCATTAAATTTTATTGTTTTGAAAGAACACAAATTTACAATTTTTGAACCACTGACTCCTTTCTCTTGTTTTGTAACAGCCTCCTTCTACAAAGAGGAGACAAGAGCAAATGAAACTTGTTTGTTGGTATTTATAACTCACTCAGATCCCTTTTTTAATTGTTAAATTATTTTTCTATTGCAGTATAGATTCTTTACAGTGTCAGTTTCCATCTGGGAAGACCCTCCTTTCTTTATCTCTAGCTCAGATGGTTGTTTAACTGCGAGTTTAAATGTGTTTGTCCTGGATTTTCGGCATGCAAATCAAATATTACTGATCAATTCAGTTAGTGGCCATGACATCTCAATCTTGTACTTCAAAGACTGAGAAGCTGGATTTAATCATCCCTGCCCTACATATATAAACATAAGGTAACCTAATGAGTTTTATGTCCCTTAGTTTTTTTTTATTATCTTACATAAAAATGAACATTGCGGCAAGATGCATGTCTGTCTATTCTATTGAGAGATCACCCATATACCTATATATGTTTGTATCTATGACGTATCTAATCTGCCTATCAAATCTATCTATCTATATATTTTCAAAAGTAAGCATATGTCTGAAACAGTGGTGATGAGTAAGGCCAGTCGAGCCGTGCTTACTTATGATTAAGTGCTTCTTAAAAGAACCATAGTCCATTTACAATTTTGGAAGGCAAAGGCTGGTTTGTTTTGCTGTATATAGTTCAATTCGTAATTATCACAATTATTCATAACATTTTTATAGCGGTGTAATAACTGCAGCGGTTCTGAAATATTATGGAAAGAAAAAACATTTGCAAAATGTGTATTTTTAAAGTTCATGGTTTGTAGGCAAAGATGTTAAGAGCATTGTTTCCATTAAAATCAATAACAATGAAAAATGGTTGTTTGCTTTGTGATAAAATATTAACAATCCATTTAATCTTCAGCGAAGCAACTCATTTGGACAAACAGTTCTCTTACAGTTATATGAAAAAGAAAGTGATTGCTGTTTTGGGGGGGTGGAGTGGGTAGAGTACTGAGAGAGGTTTTTTGTTTTTTGTTTTTTTACTAATTTAGGGTGCTGTTTAATATTGAGAGCCCAATCTCTTCATGAATAACCAACTTGCAAATCAGCAAATAGAATGGTGGAGATAAGGAATTGTAAAGAATTTAGAAATGTAATGAATAGGCCAAGTACCTCCTTCTCTTGAAGGGGCAGTGCTCTAGGATTTTTGGTGGCAGTCAGTTTGGTATTATACATAATCATTTTGAATTCTAGAATTTTGTTTATTGTTCTTTTTGAAGAAATAAAGTCTTGGCACATCTATTTATAACTTTTTGTATTTGGTGCCTGATTTTCTTCCATGTTCAAATAAATCGACCTTAAATTGAAATGCTCAGAGAAGTTCTGATGATTAAACGAAACTTTGATTCCCTGGACACAGTTGAAGCAGTGTATTTTAAGTTATCTACTGATCTTTGTCAACAGTTAATTATTGACAGTTTCTAATTGCAAAATGCTTTGGATGCGATTTTTTGTTTGTGGAGAATGCGTTTTTTTGCACTTTCCTCCACCAATAGACAAGGCAAGGGTCTGAATGCCATGAACGGACTGGGATGACTTCACAAGTGATGAGCAGGTAACCTGGTCAGTCTACCACTCCTAGCCCAGACATTCCAATCTTGACCTTGACATTGAGGGTGCTGGACCAAATTCCTATTTCAGGATTTTTCCTTCACTTCAAACCAGAGACCATTTTAAATGCTCAGCAAGTTTTCAGAAAGTGCATACTCATAAGATTGGCTCTAAATGTGTTCCAACTGAAGTCTAAATAATGTTTTTCTTCCGAAATATGCATCTAACTTCCACAGTTTACTGTTTTCTCTATGAATTCCCTCTCCACCCCCAATGTAACCTAACCTTAAATGGCAGTAGAATGATGGGTTGGTTGAAAGATTATTTCAGAAACTTGCTTCCCCCACCCCTCCGCATTAAATATATTAAACAATTAAACATCTCCTTAGGACACAAAGAAGAGTTTGCTCTTTCTTTACTAGGCTTGAAATTACTCTACCATAAAAATTTACAGTAGAGCGTTGTGTCCTAAGAGGGGAAGATGCCAATGAACAATGATGATAACCTATATTAAGATAATGTAAAAGTTTTGCCCCTCTACATGATTTCCTCTAATCTGGGTGTAGCATCATATTTCTCAAATAGTCTATCCCTATGCCCTTGTCACTTGTTGCAAAGAAAAGTTTGCGTTAGTAGAAAACTTTTCACAGATTTTCTTCCTATAATCTGACTCTGGGAGTGCACATTGACATTCTTGAATTTTCAGTAAATACCTTAAAGAATACGCACCCCCCACCCCACAACAAAAAAACCTTGTAGCCCTAAAGATAGATCAGCTGGAAACCATGAATGTCAGCTGGGTTCTTCGTAATCGACCTGTTATTTTACTTCTTGCACCTGGTAAGACCTTTGTGAAAAGTCCATCTTTTCCAAAATGGGTGGTTTAGTTTAAGATTTCCACGTTGGGTGGGGAAGGGGAAGGTGTCTATTTCCACGCAGACAGAAGTCTGGACTTCATCCACCTTGGAAGGTTAAAGATCAGGGTCCAGGCTAAGCAGGGCAGTCGGTCTTAGCTACTGCGGAGGTTGGAGAGTTAGCAGGGATCTCCTCCGTTCACAAAGCCTCCCAGGAAAGTTGTGTTCAGGACTTCCTCGCCCCTCCCCCCCCCCTCGCTGCCTGCTGTCTCCTCGCCTCTTCGCCCCTGGCTCCTTCTCCTCCCCTTATAAAACCCCCCAAACAAACGAAAAAAGTCTAAGGGCCTCTTTCCACTTAAGTTTCTGAAAGAATCGCTACCGGCGTGCTCATCCCCTGAAGCGCGGGATCTCCGCCCGGCAGCTAGGCTGGTTTTCTCTCGGGCTGTCTGCCCCCTCGGGGCTCAAGTCTAGTCAGGCTTTGCCCCGGGACGAGGCCAGGCGTTGCGAAAGTCAGGGCTCCCGCTCGGGGTCCCTGTACACACACCAAGTTCTTGCAAGGCCCGTTCGAAGCTGGGGCCGGGAGGAGGGGACCTCATTTCCTAGGGTCAATTCTCTCGCGGTCTCGGCCAGCTGACCCTTTGACCTCCACCTACAGGGCCCTTGGCGGCCGTAAGCCGGCGGTCGCCCGGGCTCCGAGGACGCTTCGCGCCCCGTCGCCTTCCCGGCCTCATTAGGCCGGCGGGGCTGTAAAGCAGGAATCAGCCGCTACCTAATCCGGACCTGGGGTCAATACGAGCCCAAACAATGGTGAGCTCCGATGGCCACAGCGCAGGGCTGGCCGCAAACTTTGTGTTCCATTCATTTTCTTAAGGCGGTGCGGTGGGGTGGGGGAGGGAGGGAGGTACTCGCACGCCGGAAGGCCGATACCGGCGCCCGGGGCTCTTAAGCGAGCGTTCTCGCGCTCGGCCCTCCGGTCTCGTCGCCGCGCCAGGGTTTTGGAGGGGGTGGCAAGGCTCGGGGCCTGGTTGGCGGCCCGCGCGAGGGCCCAGGGGCGGCCCCCGCGCCAAGAACAGACTTTGAAGTGGGTTTTTAGCGCGCACGTGTGAGAGCCGCGCCGAGGCTGGAGCGGTGACCCGCTGGGAGGAAAGAGTAGGCTCCGGCCCGGGCCCCAACCCCTCCCCCGCTCCCCGTCGCTCCGGCCTTTTCAAGCCGCGGCCGGGAGCCCGCCGGCCTCCCCCACCCGCCCCCACGCCTGCTCCCGAGCCCGCGCCGCGCGCAGGCGCACAGCCGGCAGCCGTCGAGTCGGGTTTCGCTGCGAGGGGCGGCGGGGGAGAGTTGAAAGCGGCTTTGCAGCGCCGCGGCCTCGGCCGGGCCGGGCCGGGAGGGGGGCGGAGGGGAGGGCTGGGGAGAAGGGGGGCTGGTTTTGGGGGCGGCTCTCGGGTCAGGAACATGGCGGCCGGATGCGAACCCCCGCGGAGCGCAGCAAAGCGCTGACTGCGGGCTGCCGAACTGTTGTGTGGTTTCAACTCCCTTGTTATTCCTCGGCTAGGAGCGCCTCGCGGGAGAATGTAGGTCGTGGCGGCCGAGCGCAAAATTGTTTAAAAAAAAAACAAAAAACGGAAGCGAAGAAGTTCTTCCAGGGCATACTGGGCGTGGGAAGTTGGCGAGTCTTCTGGGGGCTGGGGTTCCCGGGGTGGGGGGCGGCTTGGACCTGAAACCCACTCGAGGCCGCCACTCCCTCCAGTCCCGACTGAAATCGTTTCTCCCGGGCCCTCTGGGGTGGGGGATGCCATTTTGAGCTTCGTGACCGTGTCGGGATCCCCCAGCACCTTCGAGTCTCGAAATGCCAAGGAGTGGACACTGTTCTCTTCCAGGACAATGGCGGGGCTCGTGAGCGGAGCACGGAGGCACCGTTTCCAAACCAAATGCCCTGGATTAGCGACACGGATGTGCCATTGCGATTTCGAACCCTACGCTTTCCTCAGGCCCCGTTTTCTGCATATCTCATTTAAACGCGGACCTATGAAAAACAGTACTGTGTACGCTTTTGTGTGTGCTGTAACAGCTGGTGGTCTAACGAAAAAAGAAAAAAAAAAGGTCACAATTCCGAAAACTTTCATTGAGCTTTTGCTTAACTGCCTTAATACTGGCGTGTGAAAGAACCCCTGGTAGCTCTGGGATCTCGAGTCCGTGTTTTCTCTGCAGAAAAATGTTGCAGATTCGCCTTCAGATGTCTTTCGTGAGGAAAAAACAATGTGGGGTTTTAAAAATGTAGTCATTGACCCCCGTCTCCTCTAGAAAAATAAGCGGCACGAATTCTTTCAGGTTGCGTCTTCGTGGAGGCCAGCAGCTAAACGAAAAGACAGCCTACTGGGGCTGCCCGCTGTCGAGTATTTGGGCTCCTGAAGGTGTGGGGCAGCTCCCGTGGGCCACCTTGGGAAGGGCCCCAGGTGGGTGGGCAGGTCATTAGCAAAGCTGGCTCAGATTTGGGGGAAAACTACAAAACAGTGCCTTTATCTGCAGAGAACAATTGATGGGGTTGTCTTTCC